TTTGACGGAGACATTACGCACGAAACGCCGGTCAGTCTGACGCATGAGGATGAAGTCCAGGCGGTACTTCTCCTTCCCCTTGAAGGTGCCGAACGATAGGTCGCCCTCCCGTGCCTTCTTCGCAGCCGCCTTGACGGCCGCTACGGTCTCGTGTCTCTCTCGGTCCGCCTCGCGTTGCGGGTGTGCTTTATTCCGTATTTTCCGAGCGGCGAGTTTCCTCGCATCAATCAATCTCTGCAGAGCTCGATTCTTGCCTGTGGTGTTTTGACGAGGAGGGTGCAGCACTCCCTCTCGGCGGTGTCCGCGTTTGCCTCCTCTCTCCCGTGAGCGGTGCTTACTGACGTGGTGTTTACGAATCTCCCTTCTCCAGCTTCGTGGGCCACGCTTTCCGCGACGGTGGTTGCCAGGTGCAGTTTGCCGCTTTGCATTGCTGCCGCGGGAACAGTGTCCATACACACCTCTCGCCACTACCACCGTCTGTGCATCCTCACCGCCACGCTGAGCCAGCGCGGCGGTGAGTTGCACCTTGGGACACCACCCGCCTACTATCTGTTGTGGCCTGGTTCGCCCGCGAGGGACTCACTAGGTCGATTTCGGCCCCGGCCGGGGAGCAGGCCGAGGGGGGGAAGTAGTGTGTGCAGGGGTGGCTGTTGGTTGGGTGTCGGTACAACTGCTGTTGTTGATTTGATGTTGTTGTTGTTGTTGTTGTTGTTGTTGTTGTTGTTGTTGTTGTTGTTGCTGTTGTTGATTTGATGTTGTTGTTGTTGTTGTTGTTGTTGTTGTTGTTGTTGTTGTTGTTGTTGTTGATGATGATGATAGTGTCGTTGGTACCATTGGTTTCGTCGTTCCTGTTGGGATGATGGCTCGTCAGGTGGCCGACTCTCTCTCTCCCTCTCTCTCAGTACCACCCTCCCACTCTGGCATCAGGTGGAGTGCCTAAACAATACCACCCAAACCACGCCTTTGCACCGAAATAACCACGCCGCAGGGCCCTATGGAAAACCTGCGATCGGAGCAGACGCGAGTGGAGAAGGCGTACTCGTCGATGGCCACCAAGTTCGGGAAGGACGCGAAGACGACTCCGAGCGAAGAGTTCTTCAAGATCGTTAGGGTAACGGTCCAGACAACAAGCAAATTCATGCGCCATGCACACTGTCGGCAACATACATGACCAGCCCGAAAAATTCTGCCACTTGCATATCGCCACGTACACCCAAGGGACGAGTGTTGTTGTTTCTTGAGCTCGCTGAAATCATTGGCTCGAAACATGATTCATTCCGCTCAGAAATTCCACGGCGCTATCCGACTGGCGGAATCGGAAACCAGTGGAATGCTGCAGCCGGAGACAAAAAACATTAGAACGCTTTCTTTTTGTACCACGGAGCCGGGGGGGTGGCGACAGATTTGTGTATACATAGTATGGGTGTGCGAAGGCGAACATTACGGCAGAAAACAGCCCGATAGTATGAACGCTCAAACACCTCGCAGATTTACCATGGTGTTTTACCATGGTGTTTTGTCATGGTGTTCTTGGATGAATGTGTGCTTCTTTTCAGCTGAGCGGTCGGGACGTGTCTGCTGTCTGCTGTCTGATACATTTATTCATCGATATTTTTTTTATGGTCGTGTGGTGTTGGTTGCTGTCTATCTGCTGTCTGCTGTCTGTGCAGAGCGTGGTGGTGATGGTGGAAACTGCTACCCGCGACAACCAAGGGAGGGCGGAGGCCGAGAAGGCGCGAATCAGGAGGGAGAATAGAAACATCAAGAGGTGAGGTGCAAGTGTTGAGTGTTAATGTCGCCTTGCCCTTCGTTAGACTGTAATCGTTATTATTGTTGTTGTTGTTGTTTTTGTTGTTGTTGTTGTTGTTGTTGTTGTTGTTGTTGTTGTTGCTGTTGTTGTTGTTGTTGTCGTCGTCGTCGTCGTCGTCGTCGTTGTTGTCGTTGTTGTTGTTGCTGCTCATGTTCTCCTTCTCAATCTTTTCATCGCTGCTGTAGTCGAGGTAGTCGCTACGCTGCTACCGCCGCTCGGCGGAGTCGATGCTGCGGTCGACGTGCAACACACACCACCAGCTACGCCGCAGAAAGATCTCCGACCCAAACTCAACCCCATCGCACTCGCCTCTTCTTGTAGGAAGAAAGACAGGGAGATGGCCAGGGCAACGAGGCAGCAGAGCGAGGCCGACCTCCAGGCGCTTCTCAAGGGTGGGGCCGGCAAGCTGCGAGGGATGATCACTGGGACGGTGAGAGACAAGTTGAAGGGATGGAGAGGTTTTCGAGCAAGGCAACAAGGAAGACAAGATGGAAGAAGATGAGAGCTGTCAGGAGATGTGTGCGTTCTTCAAAACCCTCCGTCGCGCTTTTCAATACGTGTAGGCAGAATTATGAAAGGCAGGGCGAGTTGTGTCACTGGTGAACAGCGGGGCTGGGGGGCGGTGGAGATAGTTGGGTTGATTGTGGCAACTGTTTTATCCTCGCTTTTAGCAGCTATCTGCCAAACGGACTTGCCGTACCCCAGCGTGGAGGTAAGCACATGCCCGAAAATGGAGAGATGGAGAACGTTTTCCCTGCTCCTGAAAAAAGAAGTGGAGGGTGGAATGAAATCGTGCATAGGGAGCAATGAAATGCTGGGAGGTGTCGCTGAAACACACGTCATAGAACATGCTTGCCCACACCAACACGCGACTTGGGGCTGATGCACACACGCAGCTCACGTGCGCCACCGCGCGCGCACCCTAACTGGCTGCACGCACACGCATCAGGTCAACGTGGAATACGACCGCATCATGGAGGAGAGAGCCAAAGAGGGCGACGCTTTCAAAGAACTCAACGAAACCACAGACGAAAGTGTCAGGTCGGTGCAAAGGCGGGGTGGGAGGGGGAGGGGGAGGGNGGGGGGGGGGGGGGGGGGGGGGGGGGGGGGGGGGGGGGGGGGGGGGGGGGGGGGTACTGGTGTGTGGCTTCGGTGTTTGGCTATTGGCCATGCGCACTGGAGCATTACTATAATAGCGGAAAACCCATCTACATCCGGAACTTTTGTATTTCTATGCAGGTAGGGGGTAGGGGGGAAGAGAGGGCACAGAATAGCACACTCAGAGAGGGGCGCCGAAAAGGTGGCATGGTATTGATGCAGTTCTACCAGACGCACCGTATGCTGTGCATACCACACAAGGTAACACGCCCCTGTGTCGCATTTGTCTGATCTTTTGCAATATTTTATCACCGGGTGTGTGCGTTCTGTTTGGGGTTGGTGGTATCTTCGCAGCTCTTGTATTTGTTGTTGGAGAGAATGATTTGACGCTTTGGGCGGGGGTAGTCTTCTGTGGTGGGGGGGGGGCGGTGGTACTATTAACGTATGTATCTCTTGTGGGTGTGTTGCCTTGCCCGTAACTACACGCTAGGCAAGGCGGAGGGGGGGGCTCCTTATGGTTGTGAAGGTTTCGAAGAGGCGTACAAGCCATCACATCAGTGACGCGGCACTGCTGCTGCGAACCTACGGAGAATCAGCCCTTGACCGGCCACAAGCAATCCGCTGGCCCGTCTAGATGTTTGCGCACACCCGTCGCAATGCCTTCACGCGCCCGTAAATGTATGCGTAGGTGTGCGCTTATTCCAACCCCCTTCCTTCTTACCATCAGGGACCAAATCCGGGGCAAGCTGCACTACCAACGTTCCACCAACATCTTTGGCAGCACCGGCGGCGGCGGTGGCGGCGGCAACCGCTCGCATCGCTCCTTCGGCCCCTTGTCCTCCTCGCCCTCCCCCAAGAACAGCGGCGGCGGCGGCGGCGGGGGTGACGGGAACGGCCAACGCGGCCAGCCCTCGTCCTTTTTCTCTGGCTCCGACCACCCCGACCACAAGAAGAAGCAGAAGAAGTCGACGAGATTTCTGTTGCCGACGTCGGAGGCCGCGGAGGGGCCGGCGATTGCGGCGGCGGCGGGCACGGCCGGGGTAGGCGGCACGAGCAACCAGGAGCAGCGGCGGTTGAGGCGGGAGGCGTCCCTGGTGAAGCACGCGTCCGTCGTGCGGCAGAATACCGCGCTCGTGCAGGCGCGCTCGTTCTCGAGGGTGCCGAGAGAGGGGGATCCCGCGGTGGGGGACGGGGGAGCGGACGGGTTTCGTGCCGGTGGTGCGTCGACAAGGCAGCGACCGGTGGTCGCTGGAGGGGTGGGCAGCGGATCGAGCTCGAAATTCCGGCCGTCACCGCCTTCTCCGGCAAGAGGCGGGAACAGCACCAAGGTAAGAAGTGTTGGCCGGGTAATCTGTGCATACGATCGTCGTCGAAGTAGCAGCAGCAGCAGGAGGAAGAGGAGGAGGAGGAGGAGGAGGAGGAGGAGTGGCAGTAGCATACAGTGAGAAGCGTAGTTTGGGGCAACAGCAACAGCAAGAGGAGAAAGTATGACAAGTCTGCGGCGTGCGTTGTTTGGCGCTCTTTGGTTGCTTCTACTTGGCGAGTGCACAGCACGTGCACAGCTCGCGTGACGTCTGCTGAAGGAAATTGCTTGTCGGCGTTCAGAACGCGGGTTCGCAGACAGCCGAAGAAAGTACCCGAAGAGAAGCGATTGAAGTAGAGAGGTGGCCATCGCGATTGAACATGTGCAAGTGTATTTGCGATAGGAGCTGACTTGAGCTGCGCGCAAGTACAGCAATGATGCGCGTTAAATTGGTCCTCAGGTTGTACTCATCGGCAGGATTGTCCAGCGCAAGCAAGTCCTGCATGCAGTACAAGTAGACGGCAAGAATAGTCCTCGCTGAGCCTGCCCAAGGGTGATTTCTCTGCCGGGAGAGGGAACAGGGGGGCGTAGACACCGGCTCGAAGTTTTCCACTGCAGTGGTACCGTGGTAGTAGTAGCCGTATAATCGTTTGTTAGACAAGCAACCGATCTGCAGGACCCTCCTCTCTCTCCCTAACCTTAACAGGTTTCATGCCAATGTTCAAGAAACAAAAACTACTGTAGACGAGCAACCGATCAGGAACCTCCCCCCCCC